TGTTAACTCTAAATGTAAGTGTAAGGCCAGCAGCAGTGGCGCAACAGTAATGCAATGCTCTGCAATGCTAGAGCCACATGGGAAGGTTCCTTGTTCGTGTACCAAAACCTCTTTGTTTCAATACATGCCAGGTTGTGTGCACATGCCCATGATCTGGGCTAGCTGGGGCTGGGGGTGGATCATGGTATAAAGACTCTGTTGGGCTGCCTATCTCATTCTCTCTTCTCCTTTTCTCTCTCTTCATTCTTGTCTCTCTCACTCTCATGGAAAAAATAAAATAAGTAAGCTATTTTTTTAAAAAAAGGTAAGCTAACATTTGTAAAAGGAAAAGTAACTAAAGAACACAGTCTTCAAACTGAGCTAAAATAATTTGTCTATAGTCAAATCTTAAATCAAGAAAACAACCTCTAGATGTGTTTTATTTTAGCAATTTATACTCTGCACAGATGTCAGTTAATATTTGAAAATATTTAACTCTGTAGCTTTACAGAAACTATCGATATGTTCCCACTTGAGTACAGAGAAATTTGTACTTGGTAAGAGTGGAACTTTAAATTCAGTACTTACCAAAAGCTTATTAGCCTCTTTCTTGTTTTGGAAAGATAATATATCAAAGTCTTATGAAAATGTCTTATTTATATATACAGTATTCCAGAAGTCAATGGGATACTCAAAAGATTAAACAGGAATATCCTTTCCTTATGGAAAACAGGATAAAATAAATCTAAAATTAATTGTCATACATTGTTTTCAATGAGAATGGAATGACCTAGTCTATCAGCTCCAATTAAGAACATAGCCCGTTTAAAAGTGTACCCTCTTCCCCATTTATTTCTAATAGCCAAGCATTTCCAGACAAAGTTAATTCTAGAGACATTTTTGGCCAAAGGAAGTCCTATTTGAAACAGCCAGAAGATTAAGTTGGCACCAATTACAAATGAGCTACTGTGTCTTATATTAACTAAAAATGACCTGGTTCACTAGTGCAAGGTTTATTTAACACAGAATGTGAATAAAAAGACAACTGATAAGAAAAAAAAAAAGAGCTTTTCATTAAATACCATGCAAGTATCTGGCATCAAACCGTAAGTTGATTATTAAACAACTTTAATAGAAGATTTTTATCTGTTCCTTAAAACTTTGGGGAGGGGCATAGTTGGAGGTTGAGGGTTGTGGAGGGAAGAATGAAAAGATATATTGATTAAAAAGTAGGGAAGGGAGAGTTTCATTTTGTTTATGACACATTTAATCACTATACAACACTTAGCATGTAAATTGAATTTACCCAACATGAATACACTTCACTCCAGTCCAGTTGAGGATACAAAACACGTTATCATCAACAGATAATAATCCATTTCTGTGTCCCATAAATGCCTTGCCTCTCTGTTTTCATCTTTAATTTCTTTCCTTACACTCTCTACCTTCGGGAATGGAGAGTTAAACTATGCCAAGATTACACTGCTTCAGCAAGAACAGCTCTCCTATGGAAGACAGCAGGTCTCTGAATATCACAAGCTTTGTCCTTGCCAAGAAGGCCAGCCCGAGAAGGGATGTTTAAAAGAACCTGGTGAGCCCCTACCTGGCTACTCCACTAACAAGTCCAAGACTTCTCAATTCCATTCACCTACTAATAAAACTTGCAAAAGCTATTCTTCAGTTACTGAAGATTGCTAAAAACCACTGAAGTTTGTAAGGCCTAAGATGGGATCTTATAAATCAAGAAGTCCCATATATTTGTTTTTCTAGATATGATCTTTTAAATAGTCTTAACCTTTATGAGGGAAATGAAGGAGTCTGGACAAGGGGGACAGAGTTTGACAGTTGCTTCTTTTAAAAAATTATTGTATTTAATTGTATTTATTATTATTACTTTAAAAAAAATTGACCAGAAAGAGAGAAGGAAAGTGAGAAATCAAACTGCAAGGATTCGAACCGCAGTCAGTCATGTGGAAATCCAGCATCTTAACCATCACGTCCCCTGCCAGCTCCAACAGTTGCTTCCTTTTCGTCTCTCAATGGTACGTATGCACATATTCCTTAATTAATGCCAGCACTGTATTGAAATTTTGCTACTAATTAATGATAATGTGTTCTGGAAAATGTATAGGACAGTTATTCTCAAGCATAATTTCAAAAATTCCTAGAGTTTCTCATTTATTGAACTTCATATCTTGAGCTTTATTTTAAGTATGAGTTTATAAGTAAAGAATCAAAACTTAATTTTTCCAATTCACGTGGCACTGTTCCAACAATGTCTAATCCAGTGGTTCTCAGTCCGAGGAAATGGGGCAAAGGCAAATTTGGCTCCCTGGGAACATTTGGCAATGTCTGGTAATATTTTTGGTTGTCATGACAAGGGAGTGTTATGGGTATCTGATGGGTAGTAGCCAGGGATGTTGCTAAACATGCTGCAAGATGTTAGAGAACCCCTTACAACCAAGAATGACCTGGCCCCAAACGTTACAATGCTGAGATTGAGAAATTCTGGTCTAATCCAGATGTTTTAAATATTATTAAACCATATAGTGAAATCAAGAAGTTATTCTTATTTCCATTACTAACCAATGTGCACAAAGAAAGTCTGAAAATAGACCATAATTAAAACTGTATGTAAGCTGTGTAGGAAAAAGGATGACACATTTGTGATTGTGAGAAAAAAGAAAAGAAGGAGAAAAGCTAGATATTTGGGGGCCAGACTGGTGGTTAAGGTGATCCCACGTAGCCGACTGCAAGTTTGGAGTCCTGGACCCAGTGGCTTGGAAAGCACTCCAGATGGGTATGTATGCCTGGCCAAGATTCTAAAAGGAGGGGAAAATGGAGAACAGAAGATTGTAACCATCCCCCATGAAGGGCACTTTCTCACTTTTCCTCTCTCTGTCTCTCCCCAGAAGGTGCACACACCCTCTGGCAAATTAAAAATAAAATAAAGAACTTACGTATTAAAATGGTGAAATGGTATAGAATTTAATCAAAACAAGAACCTCATATAGATGTAACCCATGAGGAAGGGGCACGTTCCACTGAAATTTGCAAAGAAATTTAAAAGTGAATCCTCTTTTAAATTCTATGCTACGTACATCAAATCTAGACGGGTTCATTTAGCTTAGGTTTTAGAGACATCTTTGATGTATATCTGTTTTTAAAATAAATCAATCTATAATCTAAACTGTCCTATTATGACCACTTAAACTTCATCTTCTTTTGGTTCTTTTGACTCCAATGCCTGAAAAACAACTCAGTGGTTTGAAATAACCCTTTGAAATTTCCTAATAATCCCACTAGAACTATAAATGTGATCAGAGGATGAAGAATTATAAAGGAAGAAGCCTTAATGCCAGATTTTCAGCCACGGCCTAAGGCCAGTATAGCACAATGGAAATGACTTTCTGCTTTGGATAAAACATTTTGAAATCTGGGATGATAGTTTTGAGGAAAATAAATTTAACAAAATAATGTTTGGCTATAAACTAGCTCTCCTTTTCCATTGCCTTATAATTGATATCATGGGTTCTCCTAAGGATTCGTATCTTCTATTCACATCGATAAGCAGTTTTTGCACAACTCTAGAAGAAAAGTCCCAGGTCTCACAATCATCCTGCTTGGGTGAATGGAGGAGGTAGATAAACCATAAATAAAATGTCTCATTTATCACTTTTGAATTGATTGAACATAAATATAATTTAGAAAGAAAAAGAAAAAAGAAGGGACTGGACTAGCAGAAGAATGTCTCAGAGGAGGGACACCTTGGCCATGAGTTTCAGCCCTGTGACAGTCTACACTGCCACGGCATTAATGTGACCAACAATGACAGTGGCAGTAGCAATATCTTAACTCTTAACTCTTAGACATACTGAATTTCAGCTTCCAAACGTGTTTCACATTCAGTCAATTGTTTGGGGGTAATTGTCTCGAAAATAGTCCTTTTTCTTTAGAAGTAATATGCCAAACCCAATTCACAAAAGGAGATTTGATATGTACAACAGATCCCAACTAGGCAGTATTTAGGGATACTGACCACACACCTACTAAGTCTCTGAACAAGTCACAGACACCCCTCAAGTCTAGGGCTCATTATTTCACTTTAATAAATTTCTCACAAAGTTCCCTTGCTCCTGAACACATGTCTAAGTCCACCAGACCCTAAACCTTTTATGGGCCTGCAAATCCCTCCCTTTTGAAAGCTACTGAGTCAGTGGTGGGCAGGCTGAGTCATCTCTTGCACTGTGGCTTTATGCCTGGGTTTTGTTTACGTGATTCCCATACCGCAATTACAGACATGACTGCACCTGAGAAGTTCCTGAAGTCTTTCACACAGTCTAATTCAAAGGAAAGGTGAGAGTTGTCCTTTAGAGGTGGAAATCAGACCTCCCGTGAGGGCCTAAAGACACCAGGTCTAAAAGAAGGGGATCACCTACCAACGCCTTATCCACACCTGTCACCAGCAGCCTCACACACCTGTAGGCACTGTGGTCACTGAATAACTCATGCAAGTAGGGTCCCCTGCCACTTGCCAGGGTCGCCTGGCAGTCAGGTATATTGGCGATCCCTACTTCCCAGAGTCGCAGCAACATTGATTGGAAGCTCACTGTGTGTTAGGGATCAAGTAAGAGTTACACGAGTCAACATTATATTGTCACGCGACGGTCACTCCGAGAAGCAGGTGCCACAGCTCGCATTATCTAAAGGAGACAGCTGAGGTTCGGAAGGGCTTGGCAGCGTGGGCAGAGGCACACAGCACAAACCCAGCAGGGAGAACATGGCCTCTGATCCACCATGTCGCCTCCAGCCTGCAAGTCCAGTGCCCCTAGAAAAACCTCCCAGCTCTGGGGCATCACGGTTGGAGCCACTAGCGACGTGACCCGGAGGCGAGGGGGCGAGAGAATCCTGTCCCAGTGGCCTGCTTCTCTAGGCAGGAGCGGGGTGTGACTCCTGGGGACGAGGGGGCGGGCGGGTGCGCGGGGCTGGAGTC